TAGTCGAGGAGGTATGAACCGCCCTGTAGTGGTCTTGATAACAAAATGTAACATCTTTGCCAGCTAAGGACATTCCCGACTTTCATCGCCATTTCTTTTCACGTGATTGGTCTCAGAATACCAGCATCCGCCATTTTGTTTCCGCCCCATCACGCGATTGGGCGTTGTAGTTTCAGTAGCAGGAAGAAGGTGGGGCCATATTCTAAAATGTAAAATCACAATATACCTCTTCGGTGATGCTAATACCCGGATACAAAATCCTCACTTTCGCCAATTGAGGTAAGAATCTAACTCGAAATGTGGAGAATCTATATCCGGATACTAGGATAGTCGAGGAGGTATGAACCGCCCTGTAGTGTTCTTGATAACAAAGTGGCACGTCTTTGCCATCTAAGGTCTTCCCTGACTTTCATTGCCATTTCTTTTCACGTGATTGGTCTCAGAATACCAGCATCCGCCATTTTGTTTCCGCCCCATCACGCGATTGGACGTTGTAGTTTCAGTAGCAGGAAGAAGGTGGGGCCATATTCTAAAATGTAAAATCACGATATACCTCCTCGGTGATGCTAATACCTGGATACAAAATCCTCATTCTTTCGTCAATTGAGGCACGCATGCTACTCGAATAATGGTGAATCTATATTCGGGTACTAGAATAGTCGAGGAAGTATCAGGCGCCATATAGTTGTGTATTATGCAAAGTGGACGTCTTTTTCAGTTAAGATCTTTCCTGACTTCCATCACCATTTCTTTTTCACGCGTTTGGACTGAGAATACAAGCATCCTCCATTTTGTTCCCGCCCCATCGCGCGATTGGGCGTTGTAGGTTCAGTAGCAGGAAGAAAGTGGCGCCATATTAAAAAATTTTAAATTCACTTTATACCTTCTCGGTGATGCTAATACCCGGACACAAATTCCTCTTTCTTTCGTCAATTGAGGCAAGCACGCTACTCGAATAATGAATCTATATCCGGGTACTAGAATAGACGAGGAGAAATCAGCCGCAATGTAGTTGTGTATTGAGCAAAGTGGCTCGTCTTTGGCAGTCAATATCTGTCCCGACTTCAATCTCCATTTTTATTTACGCGATTGGACAGGAATACAGGCATCCGGCCCCATCGCGAGAATGGTCGTTGTAGCTTCCGTAGTAGGAAGAAAATTGCGTGGAAGGGTAGTAATATTTGACTTATAAGGTGTATATTTTCTGTATTCCCATGTCATTAACTTACTTTATTATTTATCATAAGTTTTACAATCATTGTTTCCAAAGGTAACCCAAATATCAATAGGGTTTACTGCTCACTTGAGGTAATGGTGAACATTCAGAGAGCCGTGAGTTATTTTTTATTATTGTTTCATCTATAGCTGTAGAGAATTACAATTGGACATGTCAAATATTAACATCACATAAAAAATTACACAACATTCACACAGCGATTCATCACTATAATACAGCAATGCGTCCCAAAATACATTTCAACTCAATTTAAAAAAGACACGATTTGTTTATTCCGTCTTGCAGTGCATACACTTATCTATCTTCTTCTCTCACTTTCACTACATGTTTCGGCATAAGAATGCCATCTTCAGGTGCTACTCCATTCACGTCAAACTAGTACATTGTATGCCTTGTCTTCACTTTNGACACATTTATTAACAAGCAGTTTGTCAGCAATTATTAATAGTAAATACTCAAAAAAAAGGCATAAAAATATAGACAGATTTATCAACAAGCAGTCGATGTCAACAATTATTAAAAAGAAATTCTTGATGAGAATAGAAGACATAACACAACAAATAATTCTTAAGTTTCCTCTTAAAAACATTAAAATTTATTATATTCTTTAATTCAGTCGGATATGTTGCACCATCACATCAGTTCCTGTTGTGGTATGAACAGTTGGACCATTCGTAAGTATTGGATGTGTCAGTATTGCTTCTAGAAACATGTTCCAAATTGATGCATACACTCACCTTGCCGCTCATACCTTTTCAATGTTCCTCTTAACATGAAAAGTAATTTGTACACAATTTTATAACCTCTCATCACAATTAATTTTATGTGCCTGCTGCCTACAATAATTGTTCAGTGTTTGTCATGAAAACAAGCAAAATGTAATTTCATAAAACTGAATCTTCATTGTCTCTTTGACACAGAATATAAAATGTATATTCTTGTGATATCTAATTGTAACATGTTATTCTTCACATGTAGTGAGGTGACATGAAAGATCCCTGGAGTTTATATTACTTAAGCTACTTGGCCCATTCTGCCCTCAAGACGATGCAGTTCTGTGGCCATCTTCACCCCATGGCTATGAACTGATGTAAGCTTCCATGTCTGGTTTATCATTACAACACACTGAAGTAAATGCCTTAAAATATGGTCCTTTATTAGAATTGACATATTTCACCAAAGAGAAATATTGTATGGCGGCCTTAAGACCCTCTCCACAGTCTAGGTGCTATCTACAGAATTTAAAAGCACAAATTCAAATTGAAAGATGAGTCTATGTTACTTGTCAGTGAATTTATCATTTCCATAAGAATTACAGTGACAGAAGATTTAAACAGTAACTTCTGCAAGTCTGATAGCTGTAATGATTTCTTATGTTCTCAATGCAGTCATCAGAAATTCAGTACTTTGAGGCCACAAACTGAATATTATTAGTCACTGGTCAGCATTCCTGCTTCATATTTGGGTTGTCCTAGGTTTGAATTCAGCATGAAGAGCAATCATACTTATCATTATTATTGTAGTAGTAGTAGTTTTCCTCAGTTCTTCCAGGCAAATGCTGCGAGTGTACCTTAAATCAGATCATGTCTACTACCATGCATATATGAGTACATACAGGGCTTGAGGTGGGGCGGGATGGCATCCCGGTTCTTTTCTAAATGGCTTAAAAGCATCCTGTTACTTCTTTGGCAGTAAATGAATTAAAAGGGGAAAACCATCCCGGTTCTATTTTCATTCCACCTCAAGCACTGAGTACAGACCTTTAAACTTGCCATCCATAATCATTCTGGCTGATGTTATAATCTGTGCAGCTGGAAAAATGTTAGGTGAATCCAAGAATCAAGCAACAGTGGCCAACTCCCCCTCCCCCCAAACTGAAGTGTGGCTCAGGAGATTTGTAAGGGACAAAGTGAGAATAGCTGTTGAGACATTAGGTAGGCCTGTCTCAGACTCAAGGGTGACTGCACAGTGCAGATGATAACCAGTACAAGTGGCACTGGAGGAGAAAATTGCAAATGGGTGGGGAATCAGACAAAAGCACAAGGCCATACTCAAACTCAATGATACAGAAAAATAAACATACCCACCTAAACAGTGCCAGCTTTATAAATTTCAGCAGAATCATAGACATGTATAAGATGTTTAAATAAAACAGGGGTTTTCATGGAGTGACATCTGGCTCCTAACCAGTCAATCCTGATGGGGGTTTTTTAATGATTTTCTCAGTCCCCACCAATCAAGTGCTGTGAATATATACCTCCACTTCTCTCCCAGTTCATCATTCAACCTCATCCTAAGCAACAACTGAATAAGGATCATTGAATAAACCAAAAATTAGCAGCCTGCCTGGATGGAAATGCTTCATTACTGAACTACAAGCCTAACATTTTCTAAACTCCATGTAATACAGACATGTACAGTCACTAGTTCATATGACAGGATTGCTTGTTTTATATTCATCTCCTGCATGAAGGTGAATAAATGGCCTAACAGGTCAAGTGACCTGCTGCATGAAGTTTCTACCTCTTCTAAGCAGAAATATCCGTTCTGTGCCCGGAATATGGTTTTCACAATGTATAGTATTTACAGCTGTATGAAAGGGAGTAACACTCAAATTATGAAATTAAAGTATTCTTATGCAATAACAGCACCAAAAGCAATAATACAGTGGGAATGAGGATTTAAATCACATACACAACAAATCCTACCCCAGTACTTGCACATGGCTTCAATAGGCATGGCTACCAAACATAATGACAAGAGTACAGATGTAAATTTCATTACTCTGGATATTCCATGTTAGGTCTGTGGTGGATATCAGACTTCTGACATGTTACGCTCCCATTTCTCTCTGTATCACAAGAATGTAAAAATGTTCCACTCCACTAACTGCCACATATATTTCCATTTTGCAGGTGGTCAACTATTCACTGTCTGCATCTGTCTCTTTGATCTACTTACAGTTAAGAACAATGGACTGTGAGTGGTAATATCACACATAAGTGACAATGTCATCTGCGACCTGCCTGTGTCATTCAAATCATCATCTGTATTACTTGAGCACTGTACCTACACCGACGTACACCTGATAGTCCATATCTGCAGTTCACATTACATTCCTGAACAGGTCACAATTTCCTTCTTTCATTTACTTCAATTTAGCAATCCCCTTTCATTGTTAACATTTATTACAAACCACTTCTGCTCTCACCTTTTCATAACTTCCACCTCCTCCTACTCTATTAAAATTTTGTGAACATCTCAACTCACACCACTTCACCTTCAGACTCCCCTCCCATCTCTTCTGCAGCTTTCCCTTAATTCTCTTTTCTTCCTCTAATGGGTGGGGTCTGGAAAGGAAGTGGTGGAAACAGACATGTGTGAGGAAGGAAAGAAGCAAAGAAAAATTGTTCAGGAAAATTATGTATGGAGAGGTAAAAAGTGGATGGATGAAGGATCCAACAAAGGTATGGAAAGAAGGAAGTGAGAAGGAGAAATGAAGTAGGGAATGGAAAGAAGGAAATGTAATTAAAGAAGTGAAATTGATGACGTCTTGAAAGGAAATGGTGAAAACAAAGGTGTTCAGCAAAAGGCAGTATGAAAGGACACCTGAGAAGAGAGGTGAGAGAGTAAGAGAAATGACAGCTATGACGATAGCAAGTGGTGGAATGGGGGAATTCAGGAATGATATTCAAAGAAGCGAAATTTGAAGGGGTCAGGAGAGAAAATGGTAATTTCAAAACGGTTAAGGAAAATCAGGAATACAGCATTTAGGAGAGGAAGTGAGCAGAAGTTGAGGAGTGTAAAGGATGGTAAGGTGAGGGAGAGAACATATGAATAGCAGTAGAAATTTTCAGGAAGACAGCAGTACATAAATTGAAAGGCTTCAGAAAGCTCAAGCAGAGAAAGGCAAATGCAAATAATCAGAAAAAGGTTATGGCAGCAGAAGGGACAAAGGTTAAAAAAATTTAAGTATAGGACAGAAGAGTAAGTTGGTGACTATGATGATGATATGCTATACTGAACTATAATATACTAAATATAGAGTATGCTAGACAAGATAATAAAATGTTTCATATTACTGTCAATTTTTATAACACACTGTTGTGCTGTACTACTATGCCATTTCTACAGTCCAGTATTATGGTCTCCTTTCTTACATGGGGCAGTGATCCCTTTGCCAGTACCCTCTCCAGACCTGTCAGCAAAAATAAACAATAATGTGAAATCTTCACATAATTACATACTCCTTTATTCATATTCAATATTTAAGAGACTAGCCATCGTATGTTGGTGCCTAGCAAATGCCATCACCACCCCGCCCCAACCAACAGAAAACTGCAATTTCCTCATAAACAGCTACAATGATTTAGATTCAGTTTGTCATTTATGAAAACCATCTTCCTAAATAGGTGCTGCATAGATGGCATCTTGAGGAAAATAACAATATACCCTCTACTGGCCCAAACACCAGATTTTTTTAATGGCTCATCATGGACTAAAGGTCTGGTAATAGCTGAAGTAGATATTTTGGGTGGGGCAAGAGAGCAATGAGACTGTCGAGCATACACAACAAAGTATCTCATATGACTTGAGTATCTACACTTGGTAGGCTGATGGCCTTTTCCTTTGTTGATGAATACAGGCTGTTTCAGGCTCCAAGTGCATATTTCAGAACAGAAAAGGCCATCAGCCATCCAAGCACTCATGTATGTTTCCCACTATAAGGCAAGAAGCAACATAATGTAGTATTATAACAATTCCTGGTCACCCCAGTCGTCTGGCGTCCAGAAGGTCCTGCATTCAGGGCACACAGCGATAAGTCTCTTCACAAGCGCCTTTCCAGAACTGTCAAACAAATGTTAAAAGGTAAAGTTTTTCCTGTGCTTAACTAATTAAGCACTATGCCATTAACGCATACTGGGAAGTGTATGTATAAATCCATCTTTTCCTGACCTGTGAACTAGTTGGAGGGGAGCGGTCAGCTTCACGTAGGGTTGCCAGATTTTGTAAAATAAAAAAGGGAGTGATGTCTCGTTGCTTGTTTATAACGACATTTTTCACAAGTAACAGGCTATAAATCACTGAAAATATGAGACACAAGTTTATTTCCGCAGTCCAGACTGGAATAACGTAAGTTGTGTTTCACTGCATGATACACTAAACCAAGCTCGCACGCGGTGCTGTTTTCATATTCTTCTTTATTGTTTAAATTAACAAAGTATTTCGAAAGTTTATTTGAACTTCGAGAATTACATTTTTCCTTAATTTTATGTCCCTTGTATTGTGCATGTTGCCTCAGGTCACCTTGTCCACCGTGCGAAATACTAAAATCCTTCCTACACAACGTACAAAATGCCCGGTTCTCGTCAGGTCCCGGCTTAACCCACGAAAACATATCTTCTCATTTCTTAAGATATATTTGATTATGTTTGGCCTGGAATTTCAACTTCTTCCGCGAAGGAGTCTTTGATGGATCTTCTTCTCTGTCAAACATTTTCGCTAACTTGACACTGACTTTCTAGCGAAGATTGAACGGATTGAAAATACACTCTCACCAACGATCACTAACACCTTCTGCTTTGGTTTAGAACCTGAAGTGTTGCCAACATTCACGAAATGCAACATAACGAAAGAAACTATTACAATGTCATTTTCCAAGGATTACAGAAATTTTATGATTAATTCGCAATGGACTTAAATAAAAAAACGGAGAATTATCCACTCCGGGTAAACAATAAACAGAGGAACAAAATTTGGGTGAAAACTCTGAAGAATTCGGGGGAAACGGGGTATCTGGGAACCCTAGCTTCACGCCCCAAACAAATGGTAACAATTATATAACGCTTGCACCATAATTAATTATAATCCATCTGCAGGTTATTTAGATGCCTTTTTCTGATGATCTTTTCACTAGACATTTTGAACAGTCTGCATCCCAGTTTCTTCAAGCCATGCCGTTCGATAAACTTATTGTTTCCTTGCTACTGGCAGGATCACGGAAACCCTGGCACGAGAGGGAACTGGGTAGGATTCCTTACCCTAACCTGTAACCTGAGAGCAACAACTGGCCACAAATGTGAACACACTATAGCCGGCTTCTAACTACAGAGTCCTGAACATTACACATGTTCCTGCATAACATAAATGTTCGCTTACTTGTAAAACCTTATGTCAACATGTTTTTAAAATGTAATACTGACATTACATATGCCACCCATTAATGGAATTTGATGTAATTAAATCATAAGCTTCCAGTCCACTCCATTTATCCGCCGCACCTTCCTACAAAGATTACCTCCAAAGAATATTATCCTACGGATACTTTTTTTAAAGTGTCACTTTTAATGGTTGAAGCTGTTTCAGGCCCCTTAGGTTATGTCAAGAATGTATAGGAGATGCAATCTTAGACAAAGGTAGCTTAAATTCCAATTTAACAAAAATTCGCAATTTGCATGTCTTAAATAAAGTTAGAAGCGACGCAAATGATAATCCTAAATATTAATGTTGGAATATATTTTTATTTTATCGCTTTTTTTTTTTTGGCTACATAAATCATTTTTCTCACTAATAATCAAACCTTTGAGACAAAACCTGCCAAAAAAAATTTAATTTAAATTAAATTATTTTTATATGAAGTAGTAAATCACGTTTTAATATAAATGGTTATTTATTATATTTATGAAAACTATAAATTGTGTTCATTTAGATTATATAAATACTTTTTGAGTAGAATGAAACTTGACAACCTACCTCATCCAATGACCTCTCCTAATGTAATCCAACCCACGACTTCTCATATATTTACCTTAAAGTTGTGGTGAGCCTTTCTTCTGATCCAGTACAATCTCCTCTATAGTTTCCTTCCTTATGTGATCACCAACCAGACTGATGAGTTCACCAAAGGATTTTTAAAGCTTGCATCCTGTTGTGTGTACATAGTCAACATATACAAAGCCCATAGTCAACATATAAGTACTTCAGTTTCCCCTCAACAATTTTTGCATTGACAGTGGACTTTGTACATGTTGATTCATTAAAGGATTTTGGTGACATTCAGTAAAAACTAAAATTATCATCAGAATGTTTACGCAACTTTCCATATGGTAAATGGAACTGGCTCATATTTAATCTTTTGCAATTTAAAGGATGAATCCAGTAGCTGTGACCCTGTTTCCTGTTCTTCTTTGAAGCAAGAAGGGATATAATTTCAATGTTAGTGAGCACTGTGTACTACTTTCATGGAACCTACACACATAAACAAACTGGGAGGACACTAAAGGAAAAACACTGATGTAAACAGTAGCTCAGACACACGTTCAAAACACTGCATTAGCAAGGCGACATTTCTGACACCACTGTAACCCCAGCCTAAGTCTTTGCAGTCCTTGTCTTGATGTGGACTGATCTACCTTGATGTGCAAGGTAATTTCCAAATAAATATATACATACATTTTACTTACTATAGTTATTGCACAGAACTTCATACACAAAAACTTACAAGTATCACAGTTACATAAAGCAAATATTCCAAACTGTAAATAAAGAATAAAACTATTTAAATTTAAATTATATAATGTTTTCTATGCTCTAATAATGGGTTTACAGAGCATCTACAGTCTTCACAGCTGCATAATATATTCAAAGTAACTTTACAAACACAATTTGTTAAATAAGTATTAGCACACTGATAATATCACTCAGATAATATAAGTGGTTTCTTATAGGTGTACAAAACAAAACAAATTGGATTTTAATAACATCCTGTTTGCACAGTGAATGTTTTCTTCCACTGAAAGAGACAAATATTGAACTATTTAAATTTCAAACAGTGGTTTAGGTTCCAGTTTATGGAAAATATGGTCAAATACATCCCAGGACCCAAAAGGCCTGCAACATTTTGCCATTCAAAATCTGTAAAACACAATTCAATTTTATAAGTCTTTTTACAAATTTAGTAATGTTTAGTTTTACAGCAAAAGCAAGCAAATCACTAATTTTTCTTATATATGAACTTACAGTGATCTAGGCCTACACTTCATGTCAGACTCTGTTTTGCTTTGTATACATAATGTAATAATCAAGAGCCAAGTTATCAATGGTGGTCAGCAAGAAAGGAAGTAAAGCCCATTAAAAGTATTAACTTTTTCTGTACTGCGCTTGTAAGAGTTCCTACTATGTCACACCTTTCAGCACATCAGAGATGTAAGAGCCAGGATTTGTGATATCTCCCAGCAGACCTAAAACACAAGTATAAATTAGTGCCAAAAAATATCCATGGGGTTTACATAAGAAGAAGCAGAAACTCTTGTTATAGTGATGATTAATACATGTTAGAATGACATTTCCACATACCAGTAACATCACAGAACTCTTCAAAGGACGCACATGGCAACAGCTCTTCTCGATAAGTTGCCAACAACCTTTCAGATGCTTTCAGCAAAGCTTCATCATTATGTCTGATATAATCAGCAAGTGTCGATGGCCACTGATCATCACTGCTAACATTTACTTTCTGGAACAATGAAAACAAACCATTTTAATTTCAGTTGCTTCTCTCATGGCAGGATCCATCATCATTCTGAATATATAATGGTCAAAATTTGGCAGCCTCTATCCCTATTATGTACCTCTGGCAATCTTCATACTTTCAACTAGACACTGAAAGTATTTTATACTGAAACTTTCTCATATGGTGTATGCACATTTTATCCTTCTGACAGCAAATGTGGTCACACAAATCTTCTACACAAAGATCAAAGCAAACTTGAATTTTATATAGGTCCTTTTTAAGATATAAAACTTTTATGTGAAACATTTTTCAAGCTGGTGTATAATTAGAAAAATAACTACAATATATAATAACTATTAAAAGCATTTATTCTAATTAGCTTTATTATCAAAGAACCAGTTTATACACACTGCTGTCCTGAATCCAAGGCAACAATAAATTTACATAATTTGACACGTTACCGTTACAAGAACTCTGATCATAGAAATCCTACTATTTCAAATTATTTATTATGTGGTAACATTATTTTGTTTCTCTAGTAATGTGGTGCTTTAAATCCATAACATGGCCCATTTTCACATACTTCCTGGTAGTTTCATGATTGTTTAAGTTTCATTCGTGATTGCAGTTTAAAAGTCCACATTACAGTTGCAATTTACTCCCTATATGAGTTTCTGTCAATGATTTCCCAAGACGTTTCAGTCCATGTTTTGTGTGTTTTCTCCCAGTTAATGAAACATGACCAAATCCTTGTAATCTCCTTACCTTAACAATATCTGAGGATCAGCATCACTCGTTTCTCCACTATTCACTGATTTCACCTCTCTTAGGACCAGTTACTTTACTCAGATTTTTGTTTCAAATGTTTTCAATTCAAAAACATTTTTCAAAGGATAATACTGTTTCATAACCATACAAAAATATGGGAGAATATACATTTTGACACCACAATTTAGACAAATGGGAACTGGGAAAAATCATTACTGACAAGTGTCACTTATGAAAGTCAAATTTTCAGCTCCTTACATTGCTTACCTTAAAATAATTTGCATAAATGCCATCTACCAGCCCAAATAATATCATGTAACTCTTGTAGACACCATATTCCTTGACAGAATGATCTGAGAGCCGAGAGCCGGCAGGTCCAGCAGGCTGGACATGACGAGCTTGAGCAAGAACCAAGAGTCGCCGCAAATGGGATAGGCGTGTGTGATTCCAGCGAGAAGGTGGATGCAGCAAAAGTGACAGAACAACCCAGTACAATGGACCTTCAGCTTCATAGCAAGATTCTAACCATTTATCAGGTGCAGTATTCTCAAGATAGGACGTCAGGTTCTTATCTTCCCGTGGACCAGAACGAGTACTAAAACAGTTCAATTAGTTAATCAATCAATCTGTAAGTAATCAGTATTGACTTAATATGGTTCTCTTAATTCAGAAACTTAAAAATGTGTAAGAAAATTACGAAAACATAATGTTATTCAATAATTATAATCTACTGTTCAAGGAAACTTACACTAAGCAATAAAAAAAGTAACCAGCAAGATGGAAAATTAATTTTCAATGATGAAATTTATACTGAAAACACAAAAATAGTTTTTACTTTCTGATGAATCCAGTTAGAAAGAAGTAATATACAAAATGATTAAGCATGGTATTGAACTCACGTGTTGACAACATATAGAGCCATGTGAATGAGGTATGGTATGATATGCATGTTTGACTGTGGACCACCTCCACCTGTATCATCATGGAAACTCTTCTCCTGGGCAAATCTCAACAGTAGAAGTTTCACATCATGCACTGTTGAGGCATAGCTGATATCCCTATAGAAATACAATACAACTTTCTCCATGACTGTAAACTGAACATTTCCATTCAGAGCAGTAACAGCTTGTTTATATTATTACATTATTTTACCTATGGCCAGTACACTCCTGAAGGTAATTGTTGTGACGAGCCAAGCAGCTTGCAAATGCTGATTCGGGCACCTGTGGACCCCACAGTGGCAACAACCCATTGCATTTTGTATTTGCATTCTGCAATGCTGCAGACTCCCACTCATCACGAGCACGTGCAAGTCTAAACACAAATATACAAAAGTTTGATTTTACGGCATTGAAGACTGGGAAAACCTAAGTTCAGTGGTGATGGCTGGGACTGAATCTGACACTCTTTATGTTCTAGGTCAGTATGCTATAAAGCAATCCCAAGAGTTACATGAGTAAAACATGGATAGATACAGCTGCCCTGTTGTTCTAGTGGTTTACCTATTAGCAATGTATTCAAAAGGTCATAGTATGATTTCCAACCACTGTCATCAATCTTTAAAACTAAAAAGTGTACAGTATAATGACAACAAAGTCGGGGGCCACGCCATAGCTCAAGCGGTTAGTTGCTGGCTTCCCAACGCGGTAGCCTGGGTTCAAACCTGTGTCTGGTCATGTGGGATTTGTGGTGGACAAAGGGGCGCTGGGGTAGGTTTTCTCCAAGTACTTCAGTTTCCCCTGCCAATCTTCATTCCACCAAATTTTCCATCATCGTAATCACCTGGGCCAGGTAATAAGCCAATCACTGACCACCATGCGAAGTGGACCCAACTGGACTCCACCACCAGGCCATGAAGGCCCATAGGGTTGTGACACGTTGAGGGTCCCACATTATCTAGACAATCGGCTCATAGATGGAGGTAAGGTTGTCAGCCTTGCGCGCCGGTCGCACTTTACTCCCCAGGAAAATTATTTAATTAATTCCTGGTACTCATATCTGTTAGAGGCTGAGTGAATCCCAGGCCCATAGTTGTCATCCATATCCTCCTAGGCAAAAGACGCCTACTTTTATAAGGAATGATGCTACTGGAAAGTAATGAATCAATGTTCCACTTCAAACTGATTGTGATTTCAGTTGTGTAGTTGGTGATTTATGTGTTCATGGTGCTACTTATTTTTAGAAATTTCCCCCTCTTCTTCTTATGATGGTCTCACCTGCAGTAATGTAAGTGTGTGTGTGTGGTCAGTAAGGAATCTTAAGGAACATAATGAATGTTCATCATCGCTAAAGCATTTATGAGGTGCTGAAGGTACCAGAAGCCTCTCTCATGAAAATAAATGTACCTGCGTGGTCATCCTGAGGCCTAAATGTGGTGTAACGGTGGTCAAAAGAGGCTTATTCAAGTAAATATGTGAAGCAGAAAAATCAATATAATGTCATGAATGGAAAACATCAGTACAAGATTAAGGACACTGCTGAAATTCCTACAAAGCTCAGAGCATGCAAATCTGGCTTATGTTCAAAATGAGAACACATATTTTCATCAGTTGCAATTTTTGTAAAATATATGTTACTGAGTTAATATCATTTTCCATTATGCATTTGTACTAAAATCACATGTGAATACAAAAAAAAAAAAAAAAAACAATATTCCTGTACATGTTACCAACACCCCAGTGTGCTACAGATTAAACAATTAATTTATATCATATTTCTAGTTAATTTTGTAATGATGTAAAATAAGTAAAATACAGTATAAAAATTATTCAAATACTTCCAGTCACTCAATTAACATAGCATGTGCAAACCTGCAATACTTAAATACTGTATCTCAGCAGAGTGAAAGAAAATATAGGATGCAAACAGAAGCATAAGAGATAAACTTCCTCTATTTAAGACTTCCATGACAGAGCATGACAGATGTCTCCATATACTCTCTAAGAATCCAATTCAGGTTTGCTTATATTTGGCATATATTTATCTCAAAAGTGTGAACTTTTCAATGCTATTTAAAAAAGTTCTCTCTTCAGGTTTCTACCCATTAAATTTGAAGATATTTTTGATCACAGAGTTGTCTCATCACTTGCATCGATTTACATGAGAGTCTGGTCAAATCTAGGAAGACATGGAAGGGGCATGTACCCCTCACAACAGTGATGACAAACCATTACAATTTTGGAAGAGACCACTTGGCAGATATGGCTCTAGATGGAAGAACAATATTAAGATAGACGTTCAGGAAATAAGGTGCAAGGGCATACAATCAATTAATCTGGCCCAAGAAAAGACGCACTGGCACAATCTTGTCAACACAGTAGTAAAACTTCACGTTCCACAAAAATCATTCTTTCATAATTAACTGTGTGACCATTAGCTTCTAAAGAAAGATTCTGCTTCCTCGAGTTAGTTAACTTACCTGACAGCAGCCATGTGACAATCGACATGAACTACATTAAAATGCGTGACAGTACTGTAACCAACTGTCTTCCTGGGTTTAGATTCAAACTCTTCAACATTACACCGTTTTGTAAATGTATACACCCCCAGTACTTTGTTAGGCTGGAACTTATAACCCTCTCGACAAATCACACAGACAAGGCCAGTCTCTTCACCAAGATCTTCCATCAGAAGTGTGCTCTTCGCAGTTACCTGAAATGTTACAAAATAAATATCACTGAATAATCAAACAAGGGACATCAGCTTAAAGGTTCTGTAAGTATGTCTAATGTCAATACCTGTCCCTTGTCATTGGTGCGCATGCCAAGAGCCCCAAGCTGTTTCTCTCGCATGGCCATGGCAAGACGTTTCTTCTCGGCACGTGTCTGTTCTCGAACTTCCTCAATGCGGCTTGCCACCTTGGGGTGTGCTCGGAGTGCCTCCAGAAGATTCTCAGCAAGCGAACCCACATGTTCATCTGATGATACCTGTTCTAAACGATGGATGATAGGAATACAGTCTGCAGATACTGCCAACTGTAAAAAATACAGAGATGATTTTATCACTATGTGATAAAAAAGAATAAAAAATTAATGACAGAAGTATCATAACTTTTACCGTGGAATTTGGAAAGACAATTCATCTTTCACCTAAGATTTGTGTATGACAGCAGCATCTAGGGAAAAGGCTGATAAGAGTTTTTACACACTACATCAAAACTATGAGGTAATTCAAAATTCTTACTCATATGACGAGGCATCATATGAAATTCTCATATTCATATGTTAGCTGGTAGTGTTAACAAATTTAGAACTCTAACACGTTCACCAATATCTACAACATAATTCAAAATTCTTACGTACTGACCAAACATTGGATGTAACCCAAAATTGCAATATGACAGTCGACTTCGTATTTTTGCACAGTAGCCGGAACGACAACAAATAAAAATGAGACTCATGATGGCAATTAAGAAGATACTTGTATCCACTTTCAAAGCCACAAAAGATTGAGAAACAGGCGAACCCCTACTTAATGGCCCCCAATTCAAGGCTTTCCCTCATTTGATGTTCAATTTCAATGATCGCAAGTGAATAATCTCAGTGTTAAATTTCCTCCATTTAAGGTCCTCCTCAATTTAATGTACAAATCCACTGCTCCTCAAAGAAACCTTAAATGGGGGTACCACTGTATATAAAATTTATTTGTACACTTGTAAGATATAGTCTCTTACTGTGCTGGAAAATAAAAATGACAAGAGCTTAGAAAATATAGCGATCTAAGAGGGACAAAGTGAAAAATTTCTGATATTCCGCTTAATAAGCAACTTCATCTGTGATGGTGGAACTGCTTGTGTGGTTGCCACCTGGGAGACTGAGAATATGGGAAAGTAACATTAAGCTGAATTAGCTGTTACTCTCTCAGTGTAACAAACTCAACTGCCATTTATTTTCATGCAGTGTATGACATAAATTAGAGTGAAACAGCTATAGAGTATCGCCTATAACATGGATTTAATTGTAGCATAAACAAAAAGAACCACTGGAACTATCAATTTCTTAACATTACATATTGTGACATGTCTAACCACTGCTGGGCAACGGGAGGTGGAACAAGTTACCATGAAGACAGACCCTTGATAAACGGTCAGTTGCCGGGTTGCACAACAGTGGAAGCGAGGTTACGAAACAGTAAGGAAAGTGGTGTTTCTCCGTGCCGTGCCGAGTAGAGCCGAGCCAAGCACTGGTTGCTACGCAGCTACAACTCTCGGCGGCGTTCCCCAGCAACGCCTGTAAACACGGCGATTATGCAACAGGGAAGGAAGGTGGGTTTTTCGCTCTCCAAGTGAGGGTGTAGAAGGGAGACTGGAATGTGTAGGGAGAGAGTTGAAATGTAGCAACCGCCGAAGCCAGTTAGTATTCGGAGCCTAAGGAAGCAGTAGAAGTCTATCAGTCACCAAGGTCAGTTGTAACGAGTGAATTGCGAACGCAAAGAAGAGGTTATAAGTTCAGATGAAGTATAGTAGCCATAGAAGAAGAAGAACCGAACATGCAACAGAAGTGTTTCTGCGTGATAACCAGTGATAGTGTGCGACAACTGAGAAGGTATTGGGAGTGTGTAATTCGGTGACACTTGCATAGCTCCCGAGTTATAAACAAGTGAAGCCTACTGAAGATAGAGTGAAGAGATTATTAACTGAAAGCTGGGGGATCAATTTTCAGTTATGCATTTTAACCATTTTCAAGCATTTTTGGGAATTTTAAAAATTCTCTAAATATGGAAGTGAGATTGTAAATAATGTTACCACACAACACTCACCTGAGAGTGCTCATGTTCAGAGGAAAGACCTGTAAGGAAGCGTAAGATGTACTTCAAAGCTGGCTTTGAAATGAATTCTTTCCAATCGTCACTGTCAGTCCGCATCAATGTTGGCTTAACACACGGCGCATGCATCTGCAAGAGATAATTAAAAGTCAATAATATAAGATAAAATCTGGCACATTTTTATCATCACTCACCTGTCCACATAAATACTACTTTATACAAAAAACAACAGATGGATACTATTGTGTGTATCTCTCATGCACATCTGCATAATCTAAAACTAATCAGCAAATTGCATACATATGGAAAATCAACCATCAGTGAGACTAGTTACAGTTTACTGTGGTGACTGATGGTAGTTTCTGTATAGAGCACAGTGAAATAAAGTACTGTTTCTGAAGGAGACAAGAGATATGAGCAGTGAAACTGATTCAATTTCAAATTTGGGGAATTTTACTGTTAAGATATATGAGAAAGGAATACAAAATTTAATGATAAATGAAATTCCTCAGATCAAGGAAAAAAAAAAGTTTTTCTTAGACACAGGAACTGCAAATTACCAAAAATAATCAGCTTTTTTATCAGTACTAACAGAAATCCCTGAAAAGTCTAGAGTTGAAATACACCAAAAATAAGGTGTTGAAAATTTGAATACATAGCCAAAACACCTGTTCTTCCAGGTTCAGTTAAAATAAACTATACAATAATTGCTCACTCATTATGATCTTGCAAATATACACTCCTACTCACCTAAGTACAGTAACAAGTCAAAGTACTGAAAATGCAAAAGGATGTCACATCTGCTCTATTATTTACCATTGTGGTACAATGGTGTTTGCATTACACATTAAACAACTGTTGAGCACAAATACAGTGGTGCATACAGGTAGCTTTATGCACTATAATCAAACCACACAGGTTATGGTCAGCAGGCAGGGAACCACAAATGAATAAACTGAGAAAAACACATATAAAATGATCTTATCCTTCTCTCAAGGTTAAGTCCATATGTAGGTGAAATTATTGGGGATCATCGGTGCAGGTTTTCATGTAAAAGATCATCTATTGATCAAATTTTTTTACATTCATCAGATAGTGGAGAAAATATGGGAGTACAATGAGGCAGTACATCAGCTGCTCAAAGACTTCAAGAAAGCCTATGATTCTGGTAGAAGGGCCTTAGTTAAAGATTTTGTGTGTAAAGAAAAACACATGGTAGTATTGATGGTAGTAAGGAGGTTGTTCTAAAAGTAAACGCTGAGAAAACTAAGTATATGTTGCTATCTCATCACCAGAAATCATGACATAAAGACATCCAACAGATCCTCTGAAAATGTAGCAGTTTAAATATTTGGGAACAAACGTAAAAAATCAAAATTTGATTCAGGAGGAAATTAAGAGACTGAATTCAGGTAATGGATGCTATCATTCAGTCCAGAAACTTGTCTTCATGTCTGCCATCTAAAAACATGTTTTTTTTTTATGTTTTAGAACAGAAATATACAAAACTATAATTTTGCCTGTGGTTCTGTATGGGTGTAAAATTTGGTCCTTGACATTATGGTAAGAACACAGACTAAGGGTGTTTGATAACAGGGTGCTGAGGAGAATATTGGGACTGAAGAGAGATGAAGTGATGGAAGGTTCGAGAAAACTGCATAATGAGGAACTTCATAATTTGTACTCTCTGCCAAGTATAATTAGAATGATCCAGTCAAAGAGGATGAGATGGCCAGGCCAGGCAATGCAGCATGAATGTGAGAGAAAAGGAATGAAAATAGGACATTGGGGGAAAGCCAGAAGGAAACAGACCATGAGAAAGACCAAGATGTAGTGCAGTGGTTAATATTAGTATGGATCTTAGAGAGAACGGATTGCATGATATGGACAGGAACCAATGGAAGGCGCCTGTAAACATGGTAATGAACCTTTGGGNAGGATTGCATGGTATGGACTGGACTGATCTGGCTAAGGATAGGAACCAATGGAAGGCGCCTGTAAACATGGTAATGAACCTTTGGGTTCCATAAAGCAATGGAAATTGTTGAGTAGCCACACAATTGGTGGATTCTCAAGAAGAGCTCATCTCCATAGTTAGTTATTATACATAAGAGCACATTCAAATGAGGCACAACTATAATAAGCAAGTACTGAAACTGAAAAGACAAATAACAGTAATAAATAAACAAACTTATGCTTCTGATTATCAAATTCATCAAACAACTAAAGAACCACTGGATAGATTTTCATAAAATTTGGAAATGATAAGCTTTACAGAAAACTGTCATATCATTTCAATTTATATTTGGCTTGGACAATCTAATAACCTCTTTACATGAAGACCTACACATATTCCTTGAATATTTTGAGCATAACTTGCTAAATATTTACCAGAGCAAAATATGTTTCAAACAAAAGTTGTAGAGAAAAACAGAACATACATTTTATATTCAATATACTCTTTCTGTAAGTTTTATGCTTTTTGAAATACTATAAATGAATTGGATGCTATGCACAGATTTCTGAATTGTTATGTTATGCAACACCTCGGGTATTCTGCTTCTTCAGTTTTTCAAGCATTTTTTCTCCCTTCATCACCACAGATAATCAGGATACCATACATAATTCAGAGATAAAAACTTTCATTTGCATACCTGCAACCATATCTTTAAAGAGATGTAATACTGGACAGACATTAAAGCCAGCTACTTTCCACTCTACGTTTTATCAAAGGAAAAAATAATTAATAATTAATAACAACAAAAACAACCACTACCATCATCATTCCTTTAAACTACTCTACTTACTGTAATGTATTCCAATGCCTGTCTCACAATACCCAGTGATATGATGTAATCTTTCAATGTATTGCCAATAGAATTGCGTTCAATACTTGCTGTCAAGATGCACAAAAGCTCGAGCTACAAAAGAGAAGAGGATCATATATCAGCTATAAGGTTTCTTTTAACTGCAATTTAAATACTGAACTGGAAACAAAATTTCTCTCAAACAAATTTCTGAATAATGTTTCAACAGAAATCAGAATATTCTAGAAACTTGCTAGGTTCAATAAATGTATAGTGAAACTGTAAGAGCAAGTAACTTTTTGAACTGTATTTGCAGTTTTGCTCATTCGCAGCATGTAAAGGTCCCTTTAACCCACCTTGTCTGTCCTACCCTTGCCTAGCAGGAAGTCTGCATTCCAGAATTTAAATATGAGCAGCTTAGTCCCTCCAAGTTTCAACCACTAAGAAACGTGCATCATGTCATCTGAATTTCCTCAGTCCAATAGCTTGTTTCAATATATACTGTGCAACCTGACTAGTTTAGAGGCACCATGTAGTATTATCCCCTCCTTGTCACATGGGTTTCCCCTTCTCCTCAGCTTCTACTGACCACAGACAATGTTATAGACAACTCTGCTAGTGTATGCATACGGAATACAGTCTTGTCCCCCATCAAAGAACTACTGCATTTCGGATGGCACAGACTGCAAAGTTTTGAAAAACCATAATTACCGCAATGAAACAGAATAACTTAGACTTGATATAAAGCTTGAAATAATACATCTGTGTGAAGTGTGAAATCAGCAGCTTGTCAAAAAACAAAATAGGAATGTGATATGGATTAACTTAAAATTGAGTTCAAGCTAGGAAAGAAATTTATAAACAATCAAATATAGTAATACTAAATACATAACCATATGATGAGACCAAAATCTTAATATAATCATAGGTAATAAATTATCTGAATGTGTTTCAGAATTTAAGTATCAGATGGAAACCATATAAAACAGAAACTGGATCACACAAAATATAATACAGCTCTTTCGAATATATTAAAAGTATATATATATCAAACAACAATGTGGCCAGGGTTTTGTGTGGTTTCTCATTCTGCAGAAACAATGAATTAATATAATGTAACGTGTCGGCAATCCAAAAGAGTAACTTCTATGGAAACGCTAGAATAGACCGTTGCATAGGAAACAACATTCGCTCTACTGTAGTTCTAACAGGAATCTCCACGGTTACGACGAATACGCGAAGCGTTCCCACAGAGACAATGCAATAACAATGGGTCATTGCGTAGGAAACGTGGAACCGACAAAGCAACGTTTCCACCGCTATAACAGAGGGTTCGTTGCATAGCAGCGACCAAGGTTATATAGCGGGGCTGAATGCATTTGACAGTCAGTCTTGGAATAGCCAGCTAAGAAGTCAGTCGTTATCAATCCTTCAAAGTAGTCAGTCCTAGAATAACCGCCAGAGAAGAGAGTCCAGTGTCGGCCGGAATATTGTAACCAGTAATTGTAACACTGCAAGTGCAAATGCCTGTAAAGTGTGTGTAAGGCGAGCGAACAGAATAAATTCGCTATACCAAACAACGACGTGAAGTTATTTGTAGCGTGACACACAAGACACGCTACACTGGTATGTATGAAAACAAGGGGCTCCAGAAATAAACTTGATCTAAGAAGAATGACGTAAACGGGCAATTATAAGTATGGCATAATGAGGAAACCTGTGATTTGTACATGTTATCTAACAGGCTTATTATAAGGGTGATGAAAACAAGATTACAGTGTGCTGAACACATAGCTCAAAAGGAGGAACCAAGAAGTGCACAGGTAAACTTCCTGGAAGTGACACAAAAGACAGAATAAAATGGAAAGATAACATTAAGATAAATCTTAGGAAAATAAAATTATGCAGACAGGAGTTGGATGAAACTTGCTCAGCACTATATCCTATGGCAGGCTTTAGTATCTGCAGTGTTGAAAATTTGGTTCTACAACAGCAGAATTAGTTAATTAATTGAATTTTAAACTGGTAGGTACCATTAAATTTGCAGCTGTGAAAAAGACATTCTTTGTTAAATTATTTGGCACTTTCAAGATTCTGATTTTAAATGGTCACATAAAGTGAAGGTCATCTTATACTATATTACAATATGCAAACACAACATTTAACAGCTGTTTCATGCTAATTATGAGATAATCGTGTAAGCATAACATTACTGTAATACCTTGTGTTCATCCTCAAGGGAATGCTCAAAGTCAAATCTGTTGAAATCAGTCACGGAGGAGAAGTGATCGCAAAGAAGTGCCATCTTTGCAGCATTGCCGTAAGTCAATGCTGCTAAGACACGTGATAGATGGAGGAGCACAGCTGAATTGTTGCGTACACCTTGGGCTGTGGTACATGTCAGAAGGGCTCCGATATGTTCGCTACCTCCGAATGTTTGTGAGAAACGCACAAATTTCTCCAATGGTTGAGATGCTGCCTTTGCAAGAATTGTTTCCATGATCTGCAATACAAAATCCATGCACTTCATTATTAAAGACATTTTAATTTCTATCTCACATTTCAATAAAATGTCTACTTTGAACTACCTAGCTGATAATCATTCTTCACCTACATTACAAAGTGTAATAACAAAAATGATGTTAGTAACTACAACCATTCCTTCACTTGTACTTAGACTTTCTTCTGAAGCCAGAACTGAGCTGAGCAGTCCTATAAGAAACCTTTACAAGTCATGAAATATTCATGTTCAAAGATGCTGGTGATCCAGGATTAGTTTACTGGAATTCTTAAGCATCAGATTACTGAAGTGGAGTGGGCCAGTATCAGATCCAGTGAAGTAAATGGGACTTGTTTCCCTCTAAATGCATCACAGCAATAGCAATGGGATTTAAATAATGCAGTTACACAAGAGTGAACAAGAAGAGATTGCACCATGGAAAACTTACATCCAGTAACTGCTCAGTAATGGCTGCTTGTGAAGCATCAGTCTCTCCAGCAAGGCACAACTGTAAAATACCCAGGAAGATACCAATGGCCCCAAGTTCAGGTTGTGTAAGAACTTCCTGGTTACGCTGGACTTTCACACATAATCTAAACAACTTGAGCAGAACTTGGAGCAGTGGCCGAGCACGCGTGATGTCCCTGATGGCAGACAATCGATCCAACATGATCTGAAACAGAAAATTTATAACAAAATATGTTTCATTCTTTATTGAAGTAAATAATTCAACTTACATAAATTAAAAGAAACATATTCAATCAAATAATAAATTAACATCATCTACCAATAAAGTGGCTGTATTTGTTACAGTTATGAATATAGTCATAATATCTCAAAATACTCAAGTCCAATTTTGGCACCGAGATTTCAAAAGATGATGCAAACACTACAGAATTTCTAATTTTTGGCACATCTGCGCCAAAAACTCAAGGAATTAGCTTGGCTATATTCTTCTAGGGGATACTTAAGCAGATGCTCAAAGCAATATCAAGTCCCATTTCAAGTCAATGATTAAGATTTCCATCATCCTTCAAGTAATAACATGACAGAAGTATACATTCCATGGCAGTTAACCAAAATTACACTAACCACATCATCTATGTTAAGCAAATATATCTCCATAACATCAATTTGACCAATGCAACATTAGTTACTTGAAGAGATTGTTCAGTGTGGCATGGTAACCACAGAATATGTGTAATACTTTTACAAGGTAGATGTGGGTAATGACACTTTCTACGTATCTTCAGTATTTGATTACTTACTAACTTACTTAATTACTCATGGAGCTGAGCCCTTCTGGAGGAGCCACCAATTCTGCAGCTACTCAAGAATTTCCCAGCATTTTATGGAACCCAAAGGTTTATAACCGTGTTCACAAGAGACCTCCACTGGTCCCTATCCTGAGCCAGGTCTATCCAATCTATACCATCCCACCCTATCTCTCTAAGATCCATTCTAATATTGTCCTCCCACCTATGCCTTGGTCTTCCCAGTGGTCTCTTTCCTTCTGGCTTTCCCACTAATATCCTATATGCATTCGTCTCCCCCATTCGTGCTACATGACCTGCCCACCTCATCCTCCTTGACTTCATCATTCTAATTACACTTGGAGAAGAGTACAAGTTATGAAGCTCCTCATTATGCAGTTTTCTCCAACCTCCTGTCACTTCATCTCTCTTAGGTCCAAGTATTCTCCTCAACAACCTGTTCTCAAATACCCTCAGTCTATGTTCCTCCCTTAATATCAGAGACAAAGTTTCACACCCATACAGAACCACAGGCAAAATTATAGTTTTGTATATTCTAATTTTTATGTTTTTGGACAACAGACAAGAGATTCTGGCCTGAATGGTAGCAAGCATTACCTGAGTTCAATCACCTCTTAATTTCCTCCTGAATCCGGTTTCGATCTGTTATCGCCGTTCCCAAATATCTGAACTGTGCCACATTTTCAAAACACCTGTTTCCTATCTTTATATCATGATTTTGCCCTGAATTTTGGTGACAAGACAGCAAGATATACTTAGTTTTCTCAGTGTTTACTTCTAGACCAACCTCTTTACTTGCATCAATTAAAGTTTGTGTGTTTTTCTTTATGGTATCTACATTACCACCCAGTAGATTCACGTCATCGGCATAGACCAACAGCTGATGCGTCCCATTTAATTTCAGTCTCACCTGGTTTCCCTGGACCTTCCTAATTGCATATTCTAAGGCAAAGTTGAAAAGGAGTGGCGATAAAGCATCTCCTTGTTTTAGAAAATTCTGGATAGAAAATTTATCAGACAAATGTTTACCTACATGGACTTTACTATACGTTTCGTTTAAACACATTTTAATCAACCTAACTAGTTTCATGGGTATCCAAAACTCTATTAGAATATTGCACAATACTTCCCTCCTAACTGAATCATCGGCTTTCTTGAAGTCTATGAATAGCTGATGTACTGTCTTATTGTACTCCCATTTTTTCCCCAATATCTGACGAATGCAAAAGATCTGATCTGTAGTTGATCTGTTACGTTAAAACCCACACCGATGATCCCCAATAATTTCATCTATATATGGACTTAACCTTGAAAGAAGAATACTGGATAGAATGTTATATGAAGTTGATAGCAGTGATAACCCCCGATAATTACTACAGTCAGTTTTATCACCCTTCTTGTGCACTGGTACAATAACAGACTCCTTCCACTGATCAGGCAATTTTTCCTTAAGCCAAATAGAAGTAATTAGCTTAGATTATACAGATATTAAAACTATGTACAGGCTATAGAGAATATGGAATGTTCACAATCCCAATACCTGTAAGACCAGACCCAAATGGTTTTCTCAGATTCTGAAAATGCGGCACAGAGCAATCCATTTTCTGCATAAGCTCATATGATGTTTCATTCATCCACATAATTAATTTCTACAACCCAAGTTCATACAAAACTTTTATTTTTTAAAGTGTTACTGAATATGACATTCAAACAAACCTGTAGGCCACCACAGTCAGCCATCACATTGGCCATTTTGTAAACTTCCTCATTATTCACTTCCTGCTCACTCTTGGCATCCAGTGTCTCTACAAATTCTTCAGTAGCATCTCCTAGCAGACCTCTCATGCGGTAAACTACACGCATAGCATCACCTTCAGCACCTTCTGCAACCCATACTTTCTTGAATACCTTAAATGACATTAAAAGGAAAAAAATAACACAAAAGATGCTCACAGGACTACAGTTCAGTCATCTAACATATGTAGTCATACATGACAAATGTCTGTGAAGACAAAACTTCTTCAGGAAACAAAGACTAAGCAGAGATTCATATAACCTCAAATGATGCTGACATTAATACCATAACACATATTCTGGACAAGTTTTTAGGCACATCAGGAGTTGCCACATTGGGAAAGGAAACAAAATCAGACACACATTGGATGTCGCAAAATGTTGAAAACGTACTAATCTTTTTCAATTTATCAAATGAAATTTAATGTAAAGACAGTAACAATACAATTATATAAAAAGACACATTCTGCTATATTTGCTCCTAGCTGATACAGCCAACAGGGGTATCACAAAAAAATAAATATGAAGATAAGGAAGTGGGCCACCTCAATGGAAAACAAATATCTTCAGGGTTGGAAGTGAAATTAGCAAAATGGATCAGAACACAAAGAAGACGAGCTCAGCAGATGGGAGAGGTGAGTCATGCACACAAAATTTTGGTCATAAAACAGAAGTGATCTACACATACTTCTCGCACTGGTAGGTCCAGACTAATAATCTTGTTATTGACAAGCAATTCCATGCCATTGTCATCTTCCAGCAATGCCACGAGCTCACAGTCTTGGCAAATCTTATTCTTCACATCCCGCATGAGAGGACCTAACCCAGGTTCAGTACTACTGTATGGATTTCCCAGCATACGACCCTGTAATAACAATCACATCTTTAGTGAATAATCTGTGACATACACTGCTTATATGCAAATCCTTTTCATTTCTCCATCTCTGATATTTTACACTGAAAAACAACCTTTTTTTTTCACTGCTGTTTCATTGCATGGCAATCACTGTATAATCACATCTGATTCATGTCCATGACTATTTTGTTGAATGCACAAAGCAATTACAAAGTGGCACCATCAGTAAATAACAACACTAGTCAACAGGGCTATATTCATAAGATTATCATATATGAACTATTTCAATATTTCTGAACAATTTCTTTTAAGTAAGACCTGGGTGAAGAAAAGACACTTTCTATAACTTTCCTTTTTAAAAATGTGAATCAATCGTAAGATCACCATTATAAGGAATTTTGTTATTTCAGTAATTCCAAGGAAACACTGGTCAAAGAATGGGCACATTTGCTATGCATTTACTACACACAATGAAATATCTATTTGACCCTCTCTGGACAACTAACCTACCATCTAAATTATCAGGAATAATGAAAAGAAGATATACACAACTTTTATCAAAATACTTAGGAATGTGTGTCCCAAAAAGTCCTAAAAATAACTTATTTTTGTTATTTATCTTAACATAGGTGAAGGAAAAGATGAAACAAAAGAATAAGAATATGTAACAACTAATTATATGAGTCTTTACATTTACTTCTAAACTAACTGAGCAAGTTGGCTCAAGCAGTTATTCTTCAGACCTGTATATGGAAGGTGCCTGGTCTGAATCTCAGGCAGGACAGTAACTGTCTCTAAACGTTTTTCATGCCTCCTTCCACATCCTTCCCAATGCATTATTCACTATCATTCAATCATTTGACCCTATATAATCAGTTACTAACAGCATCATTAAACTACACATAAACAAATATCACAAATCTTCTTTAAAGGCTCTTTCACATATAAACACCTACACAAAACTGTATCTGATGTGCTACATTCAATTTCAGTCCCTCTTGATTCTCAACTTTCCTAAAGACATAGTCTACAAAGAAAAATTCATAAGTAATGTAAATAAACTCTAAATAGGAAATGTTACAGATATGGCATGTTTACCTCCACACACTTCACTATAAATCTCATTTATACATAACAGGTAACACCTTCTAACTAATTTCCTGTGTATTCAGAATATAACTATAATGTGAGAGCCCAAGTCATGTGACTTTATGACCAGATACAGAATCACTTCCTATTAGAAGGCAAGATGTAGGTTTAGAATGAATGCACAGAACAGTGTGTAAATGTGTCACCAGAATGCACATCAACACTATAATACAATGATCCCTTCAAAAACGTTGCAAAGATTAAGTACTCTGGAACAACAGCAACAAATCAAGTTGAAATTATAATAAAATGTAACACCAAGACACTTGGTGAAACTGAACCCTAAATGATTGCATATTACACAGAGAAACATGATGAGGAGGAGATCCTATTGTGTCATCATAAGCAGCTGACTTTTGGTAAATTCTGTACATTCTTTATACTTGACAAACCAGCAACCAAGAAACTATGTGACTGTGTGGGTAACATTCTTGCTCCCTATTTGGGAAGTCCCATTGACTGATGCCCTGTCCCCATTCCAAGACAATACAGGGACAGTGTGTGATAAAACTCCTTGATCATATCTGCATTCCTTGTAATTCATCAATCACCCTCAGCCTCTATTTGACTATGCAATATAGAAAGTGAAACGGATTCATTTAGCTTTGAACTGCTTCCAGTGCTGGGCTCTCACAAACCCAGCAATGAATCTTAAGATCCCATACGATGCAGGGAATTTCTTGACAGCAATTATTCGCTTGTGTCTAAGAACTTCTACTTCATGGCGTTAGCTGATAAAGTGTTGCCTAAATAAACTATGAAACAACAGTTGTTACAAAACAGAAGTTGCAACTCTACCTGCAAGAAGTCTTCCTGTTGAGGGTCCTTCTCCAGAGTGAGGAAGAATTCACCCACATCATTTTCCTCTGGGTATATTATAGAACACAATCTTTCAAATATAAACACAGGTGTGCGCACATCCTGAGGGCTATACTTCTGAACAGTCTCAATACAGATAGCCATGAATGCCTTTGTCTCCTGTTCTGTTCCTACAATAACAGAAATACCAATATCAGCACAAAGTTCTGTCATACACTCAGCATGGAATCTGAATGTCATCATAAAATCAATTTGTCACTGATTTATTTAATCCGTCTTGCAGTGCATACACTCATTTATCTCCNTCAATATCAGCACAAAGTTCTGTCATACGCTCAGCATGGAATCTGAATGTCCAAATAACATCAATTTGTCACACTGACAAAATTAAGAGAGACAGACTCCTCATATTAAGGATAAGGTATTACGTGGCACAGTTCAGACATTTCAGAATGACTATAACAAATCAAAACATGATTCAAGATTAAGAGGAGATGGAATTCAGGTAATGCTTGCTATCATTCGGTCCAGAACCTTTTGTCTTGTCTGTTATCTTAAAACAAAAATTAGAATATACAGAACTATAATTTTGACTGTGGTTCTATATGGGTGTGAAACTTGGTCTCTGATTAAGGGAGGAACACAGACTAAGGGTGTTTGAGAACAGGGTGTGGAGGAGAATATCTGGAGCGAAAAGAGATGAATTGAAGGTTGGAGAAAACTGCATAATGAGGAGCTTCATAATATGTACTCTTTCCCAAGTATAATCAGCATACTCAAATCAAGGAGGATGAGATGGGAGGGGCATGTAGCATGAACTGGGGCAAAGCGGAATGCATATAGGATATTGGTTGGAAATCCAGAAGGAAAGAGACCACTAGGAAGACCAAGACATACGCGTAGGTGGGTGGACAATATTAAAATGTATCTTAAGAGATAAGATAGGATGGTATGGATCAGATTGATCTGGCTCAGGATCGGGACCAGTGGAAGGCTCTTATGAACACGGTAATGAATGTTTGGGTTCCATAAAATGCTGGGAAGTTCTTGAGTAGCTGCAAGATTAGCGGCTTCTCTAGAAGGGCTCATCTCCATGAGTGAGAGACTACCCAAATGAAACAAAATGAGGCTCAATGTTTAAAAGTCTTCTTATTATGAGGGCTATTCCAATAGTGACCACTGATGAGCTGCTAACGAAACAAGCAACGAAAAAAAAATATTATATACTATAAATATGTACATACTTAAGCCACTATTCAACATAGTCACTGCCAGAATTGAGGCATTTGTATCAAGGAATAAGTTTTTCTGTGCCTGTGTCAAAGAAGTCTGCCGCCTTTGAGCTCAGCCACATTTTGACACCTTCCATCAACTCCTCACTGCTGTTGAAGCACTGTGATCGCAACCAGTTCTTCAGGTAGGTAAACAGGTGGTAGATATTCAGGGTTGTGAGAACAGTGATCAAACAACTCCTAGATGAAATGCTACAGCAGTGTGAGCAGCTGTATGTGGATCCTCACTGTCAAGTTGCATTACACTGGATGTCAGCATTCCAAGCCATTTGTCACGAATGGCCCCATGCAGTACTTTAGTGTTTAACCATACAAAATGTGGCTGAACTCACACATAGCAGACTTCTTTGACACAGGTATACAAAACCTTATTCCCCAATAAGGCAAGCACCTCAAATCCAGCAGTACCTATGTTGAGAAGTAGCTGAAGTATGTATGTACAAGGTGGTTCAAATATGACCGGGAGTGATTTTTTTTAAAAAACCATAATTTCCAAACACTTACTTGCACATGTCAGTCTTCAATGTACTTCCTTCCGGAGTCAAGACATTTTTTCCAACATTCTGGAAGAATCCTGATGCCCTTTTCAAAAAAGGCTTGTGGTTGGCAGTGTATCCACTCCAGAACAGACTGGATGATGGCATCATTGTTCACATACTGCATGCCTTGCAAGTCTGATTTGAGCCTTCCGAACAGGTAGAAATCACTTGGGGCCAAATCAGGACTGTACAGCGGATGTCAGAAGGTTCAATTTCAATTTCCGGAGGGTTTCCATTGTTGTTTTGGCCGTATGGGGGTGTGCATTGTCTTGAAGGAAGGCTACCCGCTTTCCACCTCTCTGCCGCTTGGATTGGATCTTTTCCTTCACGTCTGTTGCCAGGAGTTCTGAGTAATAAGCTGCATTGACTGTTCTGGCATCTGTCTGAAAGTCTACATGGATAACACCCTGCCAGTCCCAGAAGAACGTTGCCATCACTTTTCCTGCTGAATGGACCCTCCACGCTCTCTTGGATTTGGGAGAAGTGGTATGCCGCCACTCGAGTGATGATAGCTGGGACTCGGGAATGTAGTGCACCCACGTTTCATCGGTGGTCACTATAGACTTCAAAAATGCATCACCTTTGTTTTCAAACTGCTGTAGGAGAAGACTGACAGCTTGCATGCGCTCAATTTTGTTCATATCAATCAAAGTGAGCGGTATCCACCATGCATTCACCTTGCGATAGTGGAGGTGGTATNGCTGAATGGACCCTCCACGCTCTCTTGGATTTGGGAGAAGTGGTATGCCGCCACTCGAGTGATGATAGCTGGGACTCGGGAATGTAGTGCACCCACGTTTCATCGGTGGTCACTATAGACTTCAAAAATGCATCACCTTTGTTTTCAAACTGCTGTAGGAGAAGACTGACAGCTTGCATGCGCTCAATTTTGTTCATATCAATCAAAGTGAGCGGTATCCACCATGCATTCACCTTGCGATAGTGGAGGTGGTATTTCACGATTTCTTCTACACTACCAACACTGATGGACAGCATTGCTCCAAGATCCTTGATAGTTATGCGCCTATTCTCACGAATAAGCGCGTCTGCATGATCAATGTTTGGCTCGGTGATGGATGTTAATGGCCGACGATAATGCAGTTCATTCTCCACGTGCTCTCTGCCCTCTCTGAAGCACTTACACCACTCAAACACACAGGTCCATGAGACACTCTTCCCCATACTGTTGTTGGAGTCTGGTGAATTTCAGCAGATGGGACGTTTTCTCCAAGGAATTTGATCACAATGCGTTGTTCCATGCTCCGCAGTACCTTCTGTTCGCTCATCACTCTAGCAACTCCCAGACAGGACTGAACAGGTTCTAATCTGAACAGGAGGGAGGGTGGAGGTTGTGGCTTCACTCTCTCAAGGTTGCAGAGCTGCTGCGCAGCGCGGCTTGTTTACACACAAATCACTCCCATTCATATTTGAACCACCTTGTATTTTCTGCATTTATTTTTTTTTCATAGCTTGTTTTGTTAACAGCTAACCAAAGGTTATAGCCCTCATACATAAAGAAAACCATAATATGTCAACAAACAGCCAAATTTATTAACAGCATGATGATGGCAATGATCTCTGGTACTCTCCTTCATTAAAAAATTATCTTGCTGTCTTCTTCTGTCTTTGAGTGCTTTGGTATCAGGTGACAGGAGGATGGTCATAAAATCTCAGAAACTAATAGTACATGAATTACAATACCTGTAGTCATCTCTTCCAACAACTCTAGTAATTTTTCCTGGGTATCATCAATGAGTCGGGTACGCTGAACAACAAGACGTCGCAACGACAGGTAACCATTCAGGACAGCTCCAACTAAGCGGCCTTTATACTGCTGCTTTATGCTGTCTTGTTCCAGGAAAGATGCTAGAAGTTCGGTCAACATCTTCAGAGCATAACCTACAAAACACACATACAGTAATTATGAACACTATGAGGCATACTTCTCTTCTCCAATGCATCAAATCCACTATATCTGACAAAATATGTCAAGAAAGCTGCTGTAAGCTTTAATATTATTTTGAAATGTGGCAGTTATAAATTACTCATACTTAATATTCCAACTTTTGCCAGGTATTCAGCTATAACATGTGTTTACAGTGCAACTCCTATTTAAGATTTATTTTGGAAACAGTGGATATGAACACTAAACAGAGGAAAATTTTGATATGGTATAATTTATCACTAAAGTTATTGATTGTGGGTCAATGAAATCTGAATGAGGGAAAACCTTAAATCAAGGAACACTAAATGGGCATTCCACTGTACTATGCAGAAACAATACATTAAATTCACTCTTTTGTTCACCGATTATTTTGCATCATTTTAGGACTACCATTAAGACTATGAAAGAAAAATGTCTACAGCAAAGCTTAGCTGTTGCGTGTTTTGCTGTAAGGTGCCACTTGACACTGTCAATTTGCATTATGCAAACTTTACAATCATGCAATGCACTAAATTTTCCATATACCTAGAGATACATCACACTGTCACGTATTTGAGTGTTATGCCACAATACAATGGCATACATGAAGGCAAAAGGAAAGATACAAAGGTACAAATAAGAACTGTGTATTTCTGAAAATATTTCAAGTATTAAGTCTGGTAACATCATAATCAGTTATCCATTTAAATATAAAAATGCACACAAACAATACACGCTTACAAAGTCAGGGAGCATGCATTTATGTAACACCCAGTTTAATCACAACTGATAAAATCTACATAACCAAAATCTACAGATTATACTGGTCACTTTTCAGAAACACCTTTTTAAACCATGGCACACATTTTTTTTATATATTTTAGGCAGTTTCTAAATAATAATAAAGAGCTATGTTAGCCAATGTCTGTAATTGTAAAAATTTTGCTTTTGCTCCTTTAAAGAATTCTAAGGTTCAAGTGCAAAATTACAGTGACAAAATGGTTTTTGGACATATACAAACAAATGGAAGAAGTCCATTTCTCATAACTTTACACAACACTAAATCACGTATCTGTTTTGAGAGGTTAATGTGTGTGTGTGTGTTTTGTATGTGTGCACAAATATGCTTTCTTGTCTTTGGAGGGTGGAGGTGGCAAATCAGTGTTGTTTTTGAAGATTCTTAATAAAGAAAAGGCTAACAATACTGTCATTCATCTCAGATTAGTCTACAAGCAGCTGTTGACAGACTAATGTGATCCAGACAATGAACCATTACATTTCAACATATGCGATATAAAGGCTTTCCAAAAAGTGACACAGATTCCACTGCACAATAAAAATTTGCACCATGTTCTTCGTGGATAGTCCTCTTAATCCATATTTTACACTTCTGAAGTCTCATGTCACTTGAGCTTAAATTCTAATATGCAACTGAATGGAAATTACACAGATTTCTTCATTAGATTTCGTGTAAACATACGTAGCAGTATGTGTCAAAATGAAATACTCCTACATATCACTGTACAAATCACTCATCAGGAATAATGCTGCATTATGACAACAGCAGTTATTATACCTGAAGAACAACAGCCTACCTTGGGCAAGGTCAGAAGTGAGCGTTGTGTCTTCTAATCGATGCAGTTCTTGAATTTCACAAGTCAATAATTCTGCCAAATGTAGCAGCACTCCACGTACTGCCAGGTACTGTTTCCATGGTGGTGGCTGCACCAGACTTTGGTACAGAGATAGGAACTCAGCAGCACTCTCTCCTGCACTTCCTAGTTCTCCCAAGAAACCAGTCAGAAGGTCCAACACCTAAAGTTACCACATATGTACATACACAATGTCAGACGTCAAAATCTAAAGACGGTTAACAAAAGCTCTGAAAATATGATAAGTTAAAATATTTTGGAATGACAGTAAAAATCAAAGTTACATTCACAGATTAAATAAGAGCAGTATCTGCTGAATATCTTGTGAAGGAACTCCTGAATATAAGTCTGTTACATTTCTTTATTACCTTTGTGGTGTACTCTTGAAAGGCAAGATGATATATTGCATAGACAAGCACTAGAAATGTGTCGAAAGAACATATTATGGCTTTATACCTAAAATAAATGTAAAATCATCTCTGTGTTTAAGCATCATGCTATGAAGATATATAATATGTCATTTACCTCTCTTTTGCGAACAGGAACTTGGCACAAGCTTTCCAACATGTTACAAGCTACTTGGCGTGCAAGACGAGAGCTTGGGTTGAACAGCACCTGCTTCAGCCAGGCAGCATCAGTCAGTCTTAGGGGCATGATGCCACGCAGACTCTTCTGGTGCCAACGGTGTCCATATTTCTCCATCAAATACATGGTTCTTGCTTCTTCCTGAAACATTCAAGGTAGTTTCATTTGTACAAAACCTATGTTCACTACTGTTTTCATAACGCCTGACACTGGACCCTATCCTGAACCAGACGAACCCAGTCCACCCGGTCATACCTTGTAAGATTTGAGGCTTTCACGGCGGTGACTATGAAGAAAGCAGTCTTCTGGGATTTGGCACCGTGTATATGTGGTGTTAAGTCTGCTTGACCGTGTCTCACGGTGTTGTCGCTTGCAGATTTACCTATACTTCTTCAACCCTGAAGATGGGGGCGATACGTTCCTCCGAAACGTCGGTTAACACCACATATACACGGTGCCAAATCCCAGAAGACTGCTTTCTTCACGGTCATACCTTATTTCTTTAATCCTTTGCTCCTCCTAAAAAACAGAACTAAAAATAAAAGAATGCTGCTCCTTACTTATTAAAATATCATTCAAAATTTAAATTTACAGAAAAAATCAAAGATGACTGTACTGTGCACCAATATTTCTTAAACAGAATGAGCTGGGTTAAGATCCATTTTAATATTCCAAATATCAAATATCAGGGTGATAATGAACAATATTTAGTAAGGATATTTTAAATTTATATCTTGTCTCTGTTTGCAGGGCCTAAGAATAGGCAGGAGAACTTTGAGTAGGGAACTATCTTCTTCTATATACTATTATTTCCTTATTTCTGCAGTGTTCTTTTAATACATGCTATGAAGGAAGTGATAATATTCAAAATATCTCAGCTCAAGGAACAAATTTTTATGAAGATTATGGAAATTTGATTGCAATATCTTTGGCTGGTCTTCTATTTAAACAGATAATTACCAGTATCTGTCATATACTCCTTAATTCCTTTGGTATACAAGCATAAACATTTTCAGCGCAGTATCACATAGACAAAATTAACATATTCGAGTCTACATATGAAGAAAGCAGTCTGCTTTACCGTTTCTCACGGTGTTGTCGCTTGCAGATTTCTTATACTTTTTCTTCTACCCTGAAGATGGGGGCGATACGTTCCTCCGAAACGTCGGTTAACACCACATATACACGGTGCCAAATCCCAGAAGACTGCTTTCTTCATAGTCATACCTTATTTCTTTAATCCTTTGCTCCTCCTAAAAAACAGAACTAAAAATAAAAGAATGCTGCTCCTTACATATTAAAATATTATTCAAAATTTAAATATCCAGAAAAACTCAAAGATGACTGTACTGTGCACCAATATTTCTTAAACAGAATGAGCTGGGTTAAGATCCATTTTAATATTCCAAATATCAAATATCAGGGTGATAATGAACAATATTTAGTAAGGATATTTTAAATTTATATCTTGTCTCTGTTTGCAGGGCCTAAGAATAGGCAGGAGAACTTTGAGTAGGGAACTATCTTCTTCTATATACTATTATTTCCTTATTTCTGCAGTGTTCTTTTAATACATGCTATGAAGGAAGTGATAATATTCAAAATATCTCAGCTCAAGGAACAAATTTTTATGAAGATTATGGAAATTTGATTGCAATATCTTTGGCTGGTCTTCTATTTAAACAGATAATTACCAGTATCTGTCATATACTCCTTAATTCCTTTGGTATACAAGCATAAACATTTTCAGCGCAGTATCACATAGACAAAATTAACAAATTGGAGTCTACATAGTTACCTATTTATTAGCTAAGGCAATGCACCTTTCTATTGGACTGCCATATTTCTTACCTTCTTGAGGGTTTTTTTTACAGGAGCATCAGGCCCTCTTGCTGGCATATGTTGTCGCCACACTTTGTATGAATGTTTTGGATCACCCTGTAACCATTTGGCCACATCCACTCGAACTCCTTCTGTTGGTCTGAGGGTGGCTAGTGCATCCACAGTCTTGTCCTGCAAAAGACAAAATAAAGTAAAAATAATTACCTTGTATTTAAAAACACTGTGTATTGTTTTCCAGCCTGTTTCTGTCAGTCTTGGAAATAAATGCTGGGGCTAGATTCCTGAAGATGGTGGATTATAACAGAAGGTTGAGCAGACCACAATACCTTAAAATGAAAATCTCTCATAATGTTTAACACAGGTTATAAATGATGCTGCCACTTGTACATGTTACATATATGAAATAAATATAAAAGACTTTATAAATACCATCCACAGATAATTTTCCAATACCTGAAGTACTTCTAGATTATGCAAAATGTGCCAGCATATGAAAAGTTCCTATTACATTTGTCCGGCAACAATCCAAAGAAAGATAAACACTTCTGTTTCATTCAAAAAAGTTAATGTGACCCAAGAATGTATAAAACGTTTTTCTCTTTTACACAGCAATGCCTTGTCAATAATTCAGATTCAGAGAATGAACATGCATCTTGTTCTGACCAAGCAGTGATTTGAATTCTATCTTTCTGAAAGTTAGATCCACCTCATGGCATAATACTGTATTTTGTGGCTATATTTCTTCACCCCATTATGTAACATTCATAGGTAGGTTTTTATTTTATTACAACCAGCCTTCACAGGTACCTTGTTCTTTTTAGAAACTGGCTGGTCTGGTTTGATGAGGCTTTGCAGGATCTTGAGGCATGGCAAGATGATCGACTGCATTACCACAGGAGACTTGGAGTCTTTACAAGCCATAAGGAACAGCTGCATTACACACCTAAACACATGACAAACATGTTAACAAACTTTTTTCATAGATACAGCAAGGAGTGAAACAGTCATGATCAGATGGCAGACATTTCCCAAGAGCTTAATCTGTTTGCAACTGCTTAAACATGGTGAGGCGCTTTGTGCAGGAATGTAGCTGGACAACTAGACAGAGTTATCAAGGCAAATATAAACACATTTTGTCCTTATCTTTCACCTCAGTTTCTGCTCCCAGCATGAATCTTCTTTCTGTACGAGTGCAGCCAGCAATGCCATTTCATGACGCACAGCAAAGGCCAGGTCTGAGCTGGCCACATGACCACGTAGAGTCAGAGCAATACGATCCATCAGCAGAGAACGCAGATCCTCTGTTGATCTGGGATTATCGCGAGTCAGGAGACACAACAACTGTCTCACCTCTTCTTGAACCTGTAGGGAAAATAACCATGTCCTGTTCATCCACTTCTATATTGTTGCTGTGGCTCTGTTTCTAACACTTCATAATGATGTAACATCCATCACACATGAATCCCTATATCTAAGGTTCTTCCTATGATTCAACTAAAGACAACAACAGTCCTTGATGCAGAAGTATTCCTTATAAATATTTTCCACCCTATCTGGCAATCTGTTTACATGATTTGACCACATCCTCATGTCACTCACAACTGAAGATGAGTGCAGCATGTTCATCCACAACAATGGCATCCCAAACCCACAACACCACTATCTGAATTACGGTAAAGTATATGGTATTAATGACTAACGCTGAACTTTTATCTGATATTATTCATGTCAACATTTCTACTTCTTTAAGTGTTTACAATACTTTTACTAATAAACACAAGGTTAATAAATCACAAGATGTGAACCAGGAATATTACATGAAAGCAAGAAATGCTTTGTTTGCAGATTCCACTGCTCTTACAGAATGCAAATGATGCAGATTATAAACTAATGGTTATAAAGTATGCCAACAAGACTAATAACTTCATGGTATCCAGAAAATATAATATATATTATGCAGATGCAGATCAATGCAGGAAGGACAAGGACAAATCATTAGGTGCAAGATTTACCAGAAAAGTACTCAGCAAAATATGATATCAAACAAATTTTTGCAATGTTTGCTAGATGTTATCCACAATGGTCACAACATGTCTTCATGTATGATGTTATAATTTTTCCAGAACTCTGTTAAGGGAACTGCATCATGGTCTGTAGCTTTAGCAACTGCCTGTTCAAATGTTTTTCTTATGCAATAGGCCTTAAATGTTATGATGGTCCCATGATCCATGGGTTGCTGTGTAGATGTTTGCAAACCATAAAAATCTTATGCAACTTCATCTTTTTTTTTTGTCTATTTTGTTAAGGGGGGACTCTTAAAATGATTAAAACAAATCAAGAACAGTAATATATATTATGGCAGGCAGCAGCACATGCACACACGAAAATAAACGAGTGCAGACTTAAGTAGCAACATCTAAAACCCTTATGGTAACCTCAACTGCGCATGCGCCAGCCTCACATTAACTGAATTTTGCTTCGCATTAAATGCGACATTAAACAATTTGCACCAAATCAAATATTGCATTATTAGAACTTGTCATTCATTCTTCTGCACTGTGCTGTGTCTGTAATTGGCCTTGCGGCTGTTGACTCGGCACATTAATAATAAAGAATTGAATTGAATTGAACTGAATTGAATTAATAGCAACCTAGCATATTGAATTCCTTATTATCCTTGATATTAAGTTAGATACAAATATGTTGTTGCAAAACAAACCGCATTAAACATACCACAATATAAAGACACACATTACTATTCTCTACACTTGATTCTACACAAAAATGCTTAAAATAAATCTGTAGACAATAATTCTCTAAAATTTGAAGTCATGTAGCAATTTATTGAACGATTAATTTTTCTGGGAAAACTAACGCCTGACATGACCTATCCATGTAGTGTGGGTCAAGCTAAAATGATAAGAACCAAATTAAACTCCCGTGCTAAATTTCAGGGTAGACCACAAATACCAAATGTTACTGAAATACAAGTAAGAGTTTCAGAGATCAAATATGTGGAAATACAGATATACAGAGACCCCCCTTACACATACATTTCAGGAAATCTGTGCTAAGAACACATACAAATTTAAATTAGAAACATGCTGTCTTGTACAACACTGTGTAGTACAATGAAGGACAGCTAACGCATGAAGCAGGTAGCAAGCAGAGCTGTTTGCCACCTGTTTCATGCTGGTTTCTTGCTTGGCTTACTCTTTGACCCTGAAGATAGAGGCAATATGATCTTCTGAACTGTTGGCTGATATTTGCTGGACTACATGGCATTATATTCCAGACAATCAGAACTCTTCAAGATCACAACTTTGAGAAAATCACCCCAACTTAAGCTTGTCAAATATCAAAACACACGATACCAAACAGTGATACCTGAACAGTTCCCCGTCTCAGGTTGTTGTCCAAAAGTTCTGCAATGAGGCCTTGGGCACACAAGGTCTGTCTGGAAGCAGCGCTGGCAGCAAGTGCTCGCAGAAGAGTTAGGCAATGTTCAGTTGCAGCTGAAGCACATCCATAACAGCGTCCAATTGGTGGAGGTTCTGACAGAGACAGCATGCTGACTGAACTTGCTGAGCCACCCACACTTTGATCTCGTTGGTTGCGATCATATGCCACCAATTCACGTCGACATGCTAGGACGCGCTGCAGAGAACAGGATAAGAACATAAAACTGGTAGTGAAAACTGAACTAGAAGAATATGCATAAACATGGTTTCCAGATTATAAGTTACAGTGATTATGTGAAGAGTTTGCATGCATGCTATGTGTGAAAATCTGGCATACTTTGGATCCCCTGTATTCTAGAAAGTAAGACAAATACACAAAACATCTTTATTTCTCTCTTTAAAATTAGCAATAGAAACATATATGTTAAAACAATACAATATACACAATAAGATGGAATATTTGCTTAAGTAAAGAACCAAGAATACACAGACCAAGTGAAACATAAGTTATTTTGTATATCAAACCGTAAGGATTAGATGTGTAAAGATTAGATTTCTTTTTCACCCACTTTATATTTCAAATTCTATTACAGTAAACCCTCACTAATCTGGTTACAATTAATCGGGATCAAAGTATGAAAAATGAAAAATTTTGTTCACAGTTGAGTACATATTTTAAAAGACACATTGGGATCTAAGAGCAAAAGAACTTTAACAATGTGCTGAGGGTAGCTGGAGAGACTGAAACCATCCAAGAAAATATTCAAAATTGGCTTGAGCTGGATGGGGGAGACCATGGATTTTAGCTTCTGACAGAGGAAGAAATTGGTGCAGTGTTCTGTTTTTATTTATTTTCATCTGCACTAACTAGATTATTCAATTTTCCATTTATTTGTCTTGTTAAGTTTTTAGGCCTATCTTTTTCTTACTTAATCCAGATGACCTCTTCCCCAAATTAATCTGGATTAGCATAGGTTTATTGTACTTATTATTCACTGAGAACTCTCAGGAAAGTTAGTCTCAAAATAGAAGAAAACACTGATACAATGAACATATGTTACAAGTATATGTACATACAACAGCAATAACTACAGAGTAAAAATATAAGATATATTGTAATATATTCCAATATGAACGCAGGGTGCTGACAATATCTTGATGAGAGAGAGATAGAATGGAGAAAACTTGATGGAGTTTTGTAACTCGTACTCTTCACAAAATAAACTTCATTTGAACTTTTCACAAATGTCAGAGCAAGAAAATTCAGGATAAGATTGATGGTGCATGCAGCATGCACAGGACACTTTATTCAGAAAATATAAAGGATACAACCACTTAGAAGAGACTGGCACAGATGGAAGGCCAATAATAAAATAAACAGAAGAAACAGAGTAAAAGTGAGGAATGGTTCAACTTAGTTCAGGATAGGGTCCAGTGGCAGGCTCTTGTGAACATCAATTAAACTTTGTTGGGTTTCAGCGTTTTGACCAGCTAAGCAACTATCAGCGATTTAAAGAGAAGCTCTGCTCTGTGGAGTTACAATTATATGAACATAGCAAATGGTGTTCAATCATTGTTAAATCTCGCTTTTTTACATTCTGCATACTTTTCAGTAGGAAATCAAAATTACATCTTTAAAGGAAGCAAGAGAAAATCATATTTAGGGAACTGCTATTTCAGTTCAGAATCTTTCATCAACCTTTTGGCTATCTAAAAGCACAAAGATTAAAATATAAATAAACTCTAACTTTACCTTATGTTTTGTTATGTGTGCATAACTTGGTTTCTCACACTGCAGGAAGACCACAGATTAGGGTTATTTCAGAACAGAGTGCTGAGAAGAATATCTGGACATAACTGGGAGCAAGTAATGGGAAGATGGAGAACACTGCATGCAGGAACTTCATAATTTGTGCTTTGGTAATCAAATTTAGGAGGATGAAATGGATGGGGCTTGTGGCACACTGAGATAGATGAAAATCATTAGTCAGAAGACCTGAAAAGAAGATCCACGTAGGAGTCCTAACTGCGGACAGGAGGATAATATTTAAATGGATATGAGGGGCTGAAGTGGATCACCTGGCTCAGTATAAGAGAAAAATGGTGAACACAGTAATGAGCCTTAAGGCGCGTCCACATTACTCGTTCTCGTTGGGAGACTCGTCTGGCTTTTACTTGTGCTCGTAAATCTTCGTCCACACTACTTCAGTTGTTTGCCAGGCTTCGGCACATGAGGATCCATATATTTACTCAGTGTGTAAAGGCTGTAGTCATATTTTAATTTATTGGCTACAGTTTTTAAATTAAAAATTTTAAATCTGCTTATCTCGTGACTTGTCATATCGTCCACATTACTTGTGAGCACAGCGAGTCACACGAGCACGAGTAATGTGGATGCACCTTTAGGATTCCACATGAGGCTGAGAATTTGACTACTTAACTAGCAGATTCTCAAGAACTATGCCTCACATAGTTAGATACTAACACAACTGCACTTCTGAATACCTATCTTGGCACTACAGACAATACATCTGGCAGTTATGGGATAAAATAAAGTTTACTCTATGTTCTGAACTCTAGAACATACCTGGATGATCTTGCTGAGTTCCTCAAATGAGCTCTTACATTCACCACAATAACGCTGGGCCAAAAGCTGGATGGCACGATTAACCTGAGTGCTGGCCCCCGCATTGCCTGACTGGACACCTTCCTCCAGTGCTCGATCCAGCCGGTGCTCACTGATCTTAAGTAGTAACAACTGCAACAAGAATATGACAGCAATGAATTTTCAACATTTCAAGTACTACACAGAATGACAGCAATCTCACAAATGGTGTCACTTACTGTAATTTTGTAATGTTAATTACAAGAATATTCTGCTTCAGTATTAAGTACTTCACCTGTAACTTTTTCTGCAATGAATGCTTACATATATACTAAGAATGAATGTACAAGAGGTGGGCCTTCTTGGCCTTGCTTGTGCTTATATGTAGAAAGTTTAAGTTGTTTTCTTTTGATAGAACTGTTCTCACTGTATATTCAATACTACAAGTTCTCACTGATAATCACTGTCAAAATCTCCACATCTATCTCAACAGGACATCACATGCACTGAACAGGAATACCCTAAAACTGGTACCTGAATATATTCACAATTTACTGTTTGGTTTAAAACTAAATGATGATACAAAGTAAAAAATATGCTTGTTATGCATAATGACTACAGTTATGGCCTCTTCAAACTTCCTGCCCTCTCTACCCTCTACAGTGATGAAACAGTACATTCTGACATGAGAGTACACGCCATGTGAATTTCATTACGAAACTGAAAACTATTCCCCTCCAATCACAGTATATATTTTCTCTCTTCTTATTCATGGTTAAAAACAGAGAACAATATAATCTATCTCTAAGATTCATAGCATTAACATAAGACACAATAACAATTTCCATTTTTTTTTCCTTGGCACTACAGCCCCAGTGGGCCTAGGCCTACCTCCATGAACTTCTCCGTTCACTTCGGTTTTTCGAGATCTTACACATATGGTAGGACTCCTTGGGCGAGTGATCAGCTCATCGCAAGGCCTCTACCTGTAGACAAACACAAAAAAAACGCACACAAACATCCATGCCCTGACTGGGATTCGAACCCACGATATCGGCTTCCGAGCAAGCAAAGACCTTAGACCGCTCGGCTACCGTGACTGGCAACAATTTCCATTATCCAGTATGTAACTTAACAGTATTCCAAACAGAAACATATTCATTTGGAGTCAAAGCTTTTATTAATCTTCCTTCTAGCATAAATAACTTAGTTCATGACATGAAACAATTCAGACCTGCTCTAAAAAGATCTCTACTTTTAAATTAATTTTACTAACTGGAAGATTATTTTAACTTCAATATTAATTAATGATCTTGGTCTATTACACACTGGATGGCTAGTAGTATATTTTTATGTTTGATTATTGTAGTCTTGTTTGATATTAGTATGTTGTGTGCTTTTACATATATATTTTATAACTGCTTAATAATCTCTCATTGTGATTTGTCTTGCATAACATGTACAACTGTAATGGATTATGTATAATTAATTTGTAGTAATGTAATTGATGTGACTTGTCTTGTTGTCATTAACTAGTTCTATAACCACTGGTGTTCCAGCCATGTAACAATCCATGGAATGTAAACAAATGAATGAATAAATTTCCCTTCACACATGGACACCAAACTATGATAGGAACCTGGCTTTCTTTACAGTCATACAGTGTTACTTATGCCAGAGGTAAGCAAAGGAAAAGATATAGAAGAATTAATACTAAATCCAGCCAGTCTCCAATATAAGACAGTTCAACATGTGACCTCCTAGACCACAAGATCCTCTGCAAGTTACAAATTCACAATTAGTGATAAAGTGACACTGTAATTTTATTTATATATCTTAAGAGAAGAAAAATTCACAAAACATTTGTTCTTCAGTTCAGAAACTGTTCTTGTCTACTATCCTAAACAATAACAGTTAAAGTACAAGAAATAATTTTAAGAGTCGCCTGCATGATGAAAAACATGATCTCTTAATCTGACATATGGACAGGAAGTGTAGAGTGATGAAAAAACACAGCAGCAAAGATCAAGAGAGATG